AAATAACTGATTACTTGTTGTATCTACTTTGACTTGCCCTACAGGCTCATAAAAATATGGCACAACTCATAAGAACACTCAGCGATTATATATTAATTATGGTAGGGTTTGCATCTGATATACTCTGTGGGTTGACAAAAAAAGCAGTTTACATGTAAATCTGAAGGCATACCTCTGAGAGGTTTGAAGGGAGAGATGGTGTTCTTGATGGTGTAATACTGATCTTCTTCACAGACTAAGCGAGAGAAAAACAACCAAGTCAGTATTGAATAGGGTGATAAATACTGATTCAATAGAGCCCTAACCCATCAAGAAACAATTACTTAACAAGTACTACTTGTTCTCAATATCACAATATCATTATCATTAACATTCAGCATTATACCGAGAGAAGTTTCATTGTAATTCATCTCACATTGTAAATTGTTACTGATAAAAACAAATATTCAGCTTTAATATTGTACTTAATATAAGGTTCTGTCGACAAAAAAACGTCATGTAGTTTTGATCATAACGTTAATCCATAGGCAAACTGATTTCAAGCTGTAATGCTTCAGTCAACTTGAAAACTACAGTTTCTGCAGCAATAAAACTGGACATGTATTGTAAGTCTATAATTCTTGGTAACATGTGTTTGGTGGTCATGAAGCAAATCATAATTTGTTAACTTAATAACTTAGTTTATACAGTGAGATCATTTAAACCATTTTCATTTGATGCTTAATATATCACTTCTGCTCTGACCTTTTCGCCAAGAATATTTTTTCTTTGTTTCTTTTATTACTTATTCTTTTATTAATATTTCTTGAGATGAAATGAAATCCCCCCAAAATAAATATCATTCATTCTGCTACAAAAGGGGTGTGATCAGAAGTTTTAATACATTAGATACAATTGAAAAAAGTGTTTCCTTTTACTGGTAATTTTTAGTGACCAGTTCATAATTTTTGGCAACTAAAAGGCAAGCCTCTGTATACCTGTAAATATCAAAATGATTAAAATTTCAAATTCTTTGAATTCTTACAGATCTATTGTGATTTTCCCAATCTTCATCCACCAGATTTCCAAAGATGGTAGGCTGAAAAAACAAAGTGAGCCATATCTAAGCTTCATCCACCTGATTACTATTCACTTTTCAGGTTAAAAATTTGGGGATAGGTTGTTTAACATCAAAATTGTTTTAATCATCCTTTCTAAATGATGATCAAATAAGAACTTCCTTAACATAGAAAATAATGCTAATACATGCTATTCATCAATGAAGAGATTTGATGCATTTTGCTTAATAACTATTAAATTCTTAAAAGAACTTTACTACAATTAACTGTCTACTACATGTGATTTACTTGTAGTATATGTGAATAAATAACAATACTCACAGCTATAAGTTTAAATTGAACAATGCCTCATGAAAGTCTAGCATATTTACCCTTGCTTTAACAGTTTGCTTAAAACCAAGAGATGGAACACTTCTTGAAGACTGCAACAGAAAGAGAAAAAAATCAAATCAAAGGGGAGAGGAATATTTATTACAGTGTTCTTCTTACTGTTTCCCTCCCAATTACAATCACCTTTTTTATGTTGAAATATAATACAGTCTACATGCACATTTCCTTCTTTATTTTAAATCAAAGTATAAAATAATAGTGTATAAAAAGGCTTAAAAACATTTAAATATGATAAATATAAGGATCAAATAATTGATAAAAATAGACAATGTTTAAAGTAACAAAGTCACAGTAAATTTTAAGGTGTACAATTACCTTTCTCTGCTTGGTTGATCTTCTCAACAGACCTCTTGCAGCTTCCTCATATTCTTTGGCAAGCTGGTGATGCTGTATTGACAAGCGTCTGCTCAGATGAAAATACAAAGCTTAACTATACAGTCCACACCTGTACGTTTTAGGAATAATTATTATGCAACAGTCTGCAAGTTTGCACAAATCCACAAAAATCAACATTTTAAATTTTAGCTTAACCTACAGAGTCAATGATGCAATTTAAGAAGAAACACCACTTGGACGTGTTACTTCTAAAATCCAAATCAGACCAATAAATACTGAAGTTGAACTTTACTTACGCATAGTTTGATTTTTGGCGGGTTAAATCTTTTTCCTGTAAAAAAAAAAAAAAAAAAGAAAAAAAAATCATAGGTACTGCTTTTACTCTTTGAAAAAACTTCAAATACAACAATCTATCCAGAACAGCAAGAAAATTATTTCTTGACCAAAATCTCTGGGTCGCTTGGATTTAAAAAACTGCAAGGAGATTCAGCACAGGGTTACCTTAAACTTGATAATTTGACCCTATCAACTGAGTTAATGATATAAATTGGCTGGCATAAAGGGTTTTGAAAGCTGATGTTCAATGCATTAACCCTTTGTTGGAGTGAAAGACAAAGGGCTGATGCTGGAAACATCAGCCTAGGAAACTCTGCATAGTGGCCAATTTACATTATCTTTTGCTCTGACAAGGGGCTAATGCTTAAAATGTCAGCTCTAGAAACTGACTTTACCCTTTCCAATTTGCATTATCTTTAACTCTGACAGAAGGCTTACCCTCTTAAGTGTCAGCATTAGAAACTGACTTTACGGTGGCCAATTTACATCATCAGCTCAGTTGATAAAGCCAAATTATCTTGTTTTCCCCCCTGCCAATGCAGCAACACAGATTCGTTTGAAACTTAGCCCCCTTTATTCGTTTATCTTAAGATAAACTTACCTTCTCAACACCACTTATTCCACTTCCTGATTCTTCAACAAGCTGTAGCTCTAACTGAGTTAGTTTCTTCTTCTCTGCTTCCAGTAATTTTTCAGTCACCTAACAAAGGTCAGTGAAAATTAACTCATTTTATATTAAACAACTAAAAAATTTCTTCATAACTATAAAAGAAATATCATCAGTGGTATAAATAATGTAAGTCACCTCCAATTGAACGCCAAAGAGTCCCTGACCAAGGTTCTCCAAAGTTGCAGTACTTCCATCACAAGTTGCCATGTTAGCTCTTATCAGTAACTTTGACCATCAATTTTTTGTCTCTCTCTACTGGGCCCAGCCAAGCCCATGACATTCTTAAAAATCAAGTATCATCATTGCAAAAGTTAGTTTTAAACTTGTGCGTATAAGCCTCAAACAAGAATCACATTGTAGGCACCACAAATTGTGCTCTCCAATGCTTTTTTGGATAATGTTTAGTCTGCATGTAAACATGTTTAAACACTCCCAGTATTGAGGCCTGAAAAATAATTATTTTGCTACAGAAGTTGGAGCCTGAGGTATGTTTCATCTTGGATCTTAGAACAACTTCAGCTAAAAATCAATCAAGGCCTGCTCATCTTGAATTTTGGGTTCCCATTTTTTTACTTGGTCGTCCGTCTATCTCCACATCAGCGAGTAATCAAAATAACAAATAAACTTGAAAAATAACAAAGCCCTTAGAGGAAGACATGCAATTACAATATTAACCCTTGGTATTATCTAAGAACCTGAATTATTTTAAAACTAAGTTCCTAACAACCATAAAAGGTAGGTAATTTAGTGTAAACAACTAGGTTGAAAACGTAAATTAGCCACCGTAAAGGGTAAAAAAGCTAAAGCCATAAAAGGTAACCGAATACGGATAGTGCATTAGTGTATGGTTCCATATAATTTACATATAAAACCCACGCAAACTAACCGAAATAAGCGAAAACGTATATTAAAACAGTAGAATTTATCTGTTTAGAGAAAGGCAGTCTTCGACAATTTTTAAGATATTGCATTTATCTCGCTTATTTTTTAATCATAAAAATTTTAAATACCCATCGAGTCTTCGCGGTTTACGCTTGTCAAAGAGTTGGACGATTTAAAATCTATTCGGATAGGTGTAATTTTGAATTTAAACCACATTTCACATCTATCGAAAATGAAAAGTTTCATCGCTTGAAAAATGTCACCTTCGAGTAAAAGCACAAAACAAGGCGAATTACGTGCAATGTTTGCCAAACAGTGTGAAGATCGTGCGGCGAGGTCTGTCTAAAACAATGAGAGCGGAATACATTAACACAATTGTCAGCTATATTATAATTACTAATGTTTTCTCAAAAGCTTTACACAGTAAATGCAAACATTACCAATAGTATAATCTCATTTTTGGTAAAATAGTATCGCTCATTTCTCTTTTCAACAATCAAGACTTTTCCCACTGAGCACTCGTTATGAATTTTGTAAATGGTTTTCATTATTACAGTCGCAAAATTCACCGAAGCGAATGTTATCAACATCGAACACAATGCAGAGACGCTCTTCTTCGTTCAAATAACCCTTGTACATAAAAATTTCTTGAGAATCCTCATTTATCGCAGCCATCAAAATGAAAATAAAATACTTTAAGTGAGCTACAATTAACCTAACATAAACAACCTGGCGCATTTATCGTGATATCAAGCCATGTTAAATTGCATCGGTTGGCTAATTGTTCTAGAACGAAGAGCTAATTTATACCTTTAGTACAATTTCATGTGATCACGGATTCTTTTGACAGTATTTCAAATCCATGACTACCACATGTGTGCATTTTTTAAGAATTACTTTTCTCACCTTAAGGAAGCGGCAAAGTTCTTCACTTTCACTTAAAACGCGGAAACTCTTAAAAAAAACCCTTGGCAACAAAAGGAGGACTGGGAACAAATCATACAGTGAAGTATACGTCCGCAATGCATACGTATTACATGACTGCATGACTGCAAAGATAATTGGAGAATTAGCCCCGTTGTAAGTTCGCCCCCTAATGCAAATCGAGTTCGCCCCCACGGTTTACAGTCAAGTGACCCAAAAGTCATATCGCCAAATGTCATGTGGCCCGAAAGTTCTATTCATGTCGCCCAATTTTTTAACACCACCCCCACATTTACCAGTTCGCAGTCAGATCACTCGTGTAGCTCAGATTAAAGCAGAAATAACTTCAAAAAGTCGTCAAGAATGAAATTCAGTAGAAAAAAAACTGAACAAATGCAGCCAAGTTTGACAAGAGTCGACAAGGTGCAAGAGATCTTGAGATCTACTTTCATGAATGAATTGGCTGTCAGCATTGTTAGTTTTTGACCTTGCTTAGAATTTGTGATAGTTCTTTCACCACTAGTTTTCACTAAAAACCATCGTTTCCGGTGAGTAAAAATATATTTGTGTAAAAACAATAATTGATCAACCGGATCGTTGAGAAATACATGTAGGAAGAAAGTAATGTTACGTCATAATAGGAGCTAGGTCGCTAAGCAGGATTCAAAGTGGCGGCGTTCAATGTCTCAATTCTAAAGTGCGTTTGATGACAAAACAAGAGGTTAGGTGTTTCGTTTGAATCAAAGTTCTGAGAGATTGAAATATATCGTTATTGAGCTTACTTCTCCTTCGATCATTGTCTTCAAATTCTTGGCAAGGAAGCCGTCCTTTTCTAAAACAAGACGTATGTCAAACCATATTTCTTGTGGATGGATAAGTCATTATTAATATCAGAAGATGCATTACGCATACATAGATGAAGAACCAGTAATTATTAATCGCCCTGGGGATGGAGGTGGAGGATTTGAGGGGATCACATGTTTTTCAAGGGGTGGAGGGATGATATCGATCAGTCGTCGCCAACAGAGAGAACTATACAAAATTTACTGCCAATGAACCGCTAATGAGGGGGGAGGGGGACGATCGTAAAAGTACAGATCCTTAAGGGGCATCAGGTAAAATTTATCGCGAGACAAGCAAAATCCTCCAAACCCCCCCCCCCCTCCCCGACGATAAATCGAAAAATTATGACCAGTCCCTAAATGAGCGATACTACTTTAGATCTTGACCAATATTGAAATTCTTTCACTCTAACAGGCAAGGCAGGGTTATTCATCATGCTTCCAGTTTGAGCTTGCAGGCAAAATACGATTTTTATGATCTTAAGAACTGCTCGTCGAATCTCAGGAATTCTCCAACAATAAATCATCGGATTTATGGAGCTACACACAAAAACAATGGTAGAGACATAGATATAAGCCTCTTTTACAGGTCTTGTATAACCAGTAACTTTGTGAGTAATAACAACAGCGATCATAGGCGCATTCGAAAGAATGAATAATCCAAGGATGTAAATCATGGTAACTATAGACTTTCTACATCTCGCGATTCCGATGATTCTCACGGATTTTTCCTGATCTTGGATACATCGATGATGTCGTTTGACTTGCGTGTAAATCCTGGAGTACGACCAGATTGTAATGATTAAACTTGAAAACAAAATAGGAATTGTTATCGTGTTGAACTTCTTCCCGTCTTTCATTAAAAATCTTGCACCCGCTACGAGAGTCATTGTGGACCACAGGAAGACCACTGTCACTAAGGTTCGGAAATTGGTCACAATTTCGTTGTATCGGAGGTGAAAATACACCGCGAAGTAGCGTTCGATGCTTATTGCTGTTAGTGTCAGAATTGATACACCACTAGCGATATACCCTGAAGTCTCTGTAATAATCCTAGTGGCACAATATATGTCGAAATTACGTTGAATCTCACCTATTTTATGGGCGATGAAACTTGGCTGCGCAAAAAGTCCTACGGTAAAATCAGCTAAGGCTAAACAACAGAGGAGCGTATTGGCTGGACAGTGAAGAGAAGGTGTTCTTTGATATGCCATAATGATGAGAAGATTTCCAATTACAGCCGTAAGGGAAAACACAGAATTTACAACCGCTGTAACGATGTTTGTGGTATACAAGGCTTCGGTGTCAAAGTTGATATCAAAGTTGGAACAAGAAGAGTTCATTTTCGTATGTAGAACTGCTAACTGAACGTGACCTATTTAGATGGGCGATTTCGATGTTACAAGGTTTCGTACAATACACCGGCTGATTTTTTAAAAAGAGAACGAGAAAGTTGAAACGTGATGCTTGAATAAACAGATTAAACATCGTATTACGTACACTTTCTTTGAATCAGAAGGCGAAATTTAATTACCCAGGAAACAAGAGCCTCAATTTTATTTACTTTCAGTAAAATTTCCGCTTTCAGGAACAAATTGTAGGTCGCATTCGTGTTACACTAAGGGAAAATCAGCGGAGGAAAAGACAATTAGGTAATTGCTCATGAAAATTGCTTTCGAATTAAAAAAATGCAACAATCTAAGTTTCGGAGTGTCGGAGAAAAATCTTTAAGTCAATCAGGTCTGGTGTTATCGAAGTTCTAATGCTACATAAATTTCTTCGACTTACATCTGAGTTTTTTCACGCAGTATTATCTGATTTGTGTTTTCAGTTTGATAAACGTTGTCTTGCCAAAATGATTGAACAAAAGAAATAATCTGTCAGTTTATCGCAAGAGTCGTTCTCCTATCAGATTATTAGTTAAACGAAAGGTTTTTTATTTTTCATCAACGGAGAGTCATTCGCGTCGAACCCCTCATATGAAAAGCTACTTGAATTTTTCAAAAAAAAAACGAGAAACATGCATAATTAAATATGATTACAGCACAAATAAATAACAAAAAGGAAAAACCACGAACGCATGTGGGAACAGTGTAGAAAGGGTAATAATTGCAAGGTTTTTGTGGTTAACTTGTTGGTCGTGACTGGTCTAAAAGGATGGCAACGTAACACTCACGTTCTTAATGAACAGTCATTATTTGACGCCTGCGGGGGGATGGGAAGAAGAGGAATGTACTGTGGGGGGATCATAAGGTTTTCAGAGGGAACGGGGGCTGAATCAGTCGTCACCAACAGAGTATAAAAATGGGCGAGTTGGGGGGGGGGGGGCATTTGGATATTACAGAGATGGGGGGGATCGGGTAGATTTGATCGTGACACAAACAAAATCCTACAGCCCACCAGGTGATTCAAATTGACCGCTCCTTAATTCTCTCGTGAAGTCAACACCACCACGACATCTGGTAACTGGATGACACTTTTTTCGTATGTAACGCGAGTGGTCATATTGAGCAACGACGTCACGATTGCAGCCTGCTTCAAACTTTGCTGAATGAACTTGGTTTGATCGTTGATTGGAATAATGGCCGCCTATTGTTTATGAAATAAAGAAAAATTTCACCTTAGTTCGGAGATATGAATTATGTGTTCCTGTGGCAACTGACAATATCTTGCCACTGACAATATCTTGTCACTCGAACATAAAATTCATAACCACTCGCCACCGTGTAGTATCCAATACGTAGTGCTTGTTTCTCGAGGTTAGTATAGATTCAAACAGTTTTTCCTATCTTTTTTAGGAAAGTGAAATACTCGTTTCGTCATCGAATCGTGTGCTACAAATTTGAGACTTCGTGATTCTTTTAAAAATCACAATTCGTTCACTACTTTTTCGATCAAAAGAAGACGTAATTTAAGGTTAGCTGAAGCTGTAAAACTCTAGCATTGGATAATAATTTCTCTTCAAAAGTCGATGGTTCCAAAGTTAAAATAGACGCCGTTGTTTGAAGTTGTTTGCATCATGTTTGTTTCCCTCAACTTAGCTTGCATAAAATTGAGACTGGAAAGAGGTTATTGAGACTAACTATATTAGCTATTTGGGTAGTCTTAAAGTTCCCGGGGTTGAAATTTTGATAAATGTTAACGAAGTCTCAAACATGCAACTCCGCGGAACTCTACTGGCCGACAGTTTCTGTGTAAAATCTATAGCGATACTGAAACATTTATAGCAGCTCGTCTGACCTACACCCTCAGTTCAGAGTGTTTTTAAATAATTTTTAAAGAAATATTTGAAAGGGGCCGGAAGAAGGAAGGAAGGGATTATGGCGAATGTGCAAGCAATCTTTAAACACTTAACATAAACCAGCCTGTATAAGCTTCCCAATTCAAATCTTTAGGGGAAAAAAAATAATACCTGGAATTACAAAAAGAAGGAGCATTTGCTGAATGAGTCACTTTGAATAAAACAATTTCTAACCAGAAACTAAAGCGACCCAACGTCGTATCGTAATGTTATGGGGAATGAATTTCTAGTCGAACTTATTGAGAAATTTAATTTGTCTTTTGCGTCATCAGTAAATAAACAAACGTTGTAAAATGCAATTAGCAAGTCACTCAGATTCTTTAAAACAGCCTAATATGATGCTTCTTTAGTGTCTCCCTAAAGCAGGTGGTTGTTTCAAGAGGCTGCATGTGATTACTGTATCATTCCCACCTCGCAATCGACACTTGGTTTTCGCATACCGGTAACTCTTACCAGTCGTGGTTCCCCACCAAGAAAATCTTTGCTAATCATTGTCGTCTTGACCTCGAAACGCGTAAAATCATATAAAATCTCTTGTTTTCTAATGATTTCTCAGTTTTCTGTAGATTTAAGCTGTTATTAATTTTTAGTTTGTCAAGCTTAAACATGGGATGTGACAGTAGGCTTAGCTTGTCCTATCATGATTGTTTGAGAACGGGTCTGCTCTTCAAACAACACGTAGGTAGTGACGCAGTGGTAATTAGCCATATGTTTTGATACAAATTTATTAAACTGCTGAATTCTTTTTTCGCTTATGAGGAATTCAGAACCACAGAGCAGAATATAAAAAGTCTATCTCACCAAGAAGACTAGGCCAGACAAGATACTGGGCGAAGGTTAAAAAAATTATCCTTTCGAGAATAGTGTTTTTGGGTCGTTTGAATTAACATAGGTAAAAAAAAAATGCAAAAAAAATATGTGCTCGATTTTAAGATGAAAAGCGTTCTTTAACTTGACAGATCTTAATAACTAAACCACAAATGTCTAGATGTTATCTTATAATCAAATTAGACCACTTCATCGTCACAATAATTTAGATAAATGCAAGATTCTCAGTCTTGTAAATCAGGCCAAGAAAAACCCGTAACAAGGTAATCATTGCCTTTAACTGCAGATAATGTCTCTTGGATACCGATGGAGTAGAATGAATTGTGAGTGAAAAGGCAAAGCCTTCAGTTAAGAGAGTTTTAAGACAACAAAGAATTGACTCGCAGGTGGTGAATATGAAATGACTCGGTAGACGATTTAGGGAAAATTACTAAATCATCATTTTCAGTGCTATTTAACCTTTCACTGTATGTGAAGAAGGCTTACCTAAAACTTTCCCAAACAACTGTTTTTTAGGAAAAGCACGTAATGCAGAATTTGTAAACTAGCATCAGACCCGATGCTGATCAAATAAAGGAAAGCTTAAGTGTGTTGGATGACATCGAAGTAAACCTGTCACTGTCGATATCATTTCATATAAGATATGTTAGCCTCATTCACTGGTATAAAATGTCAAATCACCCTTTTTAAACATAAGCTTTTGTGAAATATTGGGAAAATCTCTTTCAGCGTTTCGGCTTCCTTTGTTTTGACCTGACAATTCTGCATTACTTTTTTTAATTAATTTAAATGTCCCCTAGCAAATCTTTTCATAAACATGACTCATTCTTTCGCCCACAGGGAAAATTCATTACAAACCATTTTTTAATTCTAAAAGTTCGGCCATTTCTTAGACTTAGAATGAAAATGCTTTTTTCAGACGAAAAAACCATCTTTGAGGAAACACAATTTTTGTTGCGAGGATGAAATAAGACACGAAATCGATCGATAGATAATTTCTGTAAAGTTTCAAACAAACGAATCTTTGGGTCATTTCCTGTATGCCATATTCTGGCGAAACTATGAAAAACAATTGAAACATTAAAGACAGCGGCTTTTTCGAAAGACTGGCAGCCTTTTTTTTTTTCTTAATTTTCTTAAATTAGTATTTATATTTTAACAACAGCAAACCTGTGTGTGATATATTAGACAACTGGGTGACTAAATTAAAGGAGATTAAACTGAATGCAAAGCATCGTATGAGATAAAATGAACCATTTGCCGTTGGCTGTTGTAGATAAAAATAAAAAATAAAGATTATTTGATCTGCCCGCCGGCGGGTACAATCTCCATTTATCCTGAACTTGCATCAAAGTTCTCATAAGTTTTTCAATGAGTTGGAATATTCAGTAAATAGTTATGGAGCTTACGATTCTCTTACATTCACTGCCACTGATGTTATTTGTTCACTTATATTGCCTTAATTTCCCTTGTTCTGACAATTTAAGCCATGATTCTTCGTACAGAAACTGCACTCCGCATAATTCTGAATTTAAAAGATATGATTTTATAGATTTTTCTTCCTTTTTTTTTTCGCGTTACTTGACACTCTCATGTGGTGCTTCGGGAACCGTTTTACAGCCAGAGCCATAATCCAGCCTTTTGGGTGGTAATGGATTGAAAGTCATCGTGCTTTGTTCAGTGGCTCCGGGATTAACCCCAGTATTTCGTTTGATCACCGCCCAGACGGCCTGCTTAATTTCTTTCATTCTCCAGCAATATATAAACGGATTCAGAGAGCTGTTGATACAAACCACAGTCGAAAATACATCAGTTGCAACCTTCACCGGTACTGTAAATCCGTATTTGAGTTTGGCCACCATCACCAAAGAATAAGGAACATAGCAGACAAACGACAGCATAAATACAATCACCATTGTGAACGTCGAACGCTGGTATTTTTTCATGTTTAATTCGACCTGCGTTCCAAGATCAAATCGTCTTTGACACTGTATTTCTCTGGCATGACGACGCACTATTTTGTAAATTTTGATGTATGCCACAGAGGTTATCACGATGGATAATACTTCAGAGGCTATCACAATTGAGCCAAACACGCTCCTCTGTATAAAATATAGGGAAGTCACTACTATTCCCAGCGCCCAGAAAGAACAGGCCGCTATTAAAATCCGTTTTTTTGTTACTACTTCTTTATAACGCAAATGTAGGTGCAATGCCAAAAATCGTTCCAGAGCGATGGCAGTTAGCGTGAGAAGAGAAACTGCAGTAATACAGTAACCAAACACAATATACACAAAGCGAGCGTAACAAGACAGCTCTTCAGCTTTGAAGATTTCAGCCATCTTGTGACAGACGAAAAGTGTCTGAACGATCAAGCCAACTTGAAGATCGGCGAACGCCAGCGTGGACAGTAAGATGTTTGACGGAGAACGAGCCAAATGTGTTTTCCATATCGCTAACACAACTAAAATATTTCCAACGATGGCTGGAACGGCGAATAACGCGTTGAAAATGCAGGTCATTACATTGGAAATGTAAACAAGTTGGTTTTCCTCCATACTAAAGTCTATTACATTCGCGAAAAGGCAAGCATTTTGACTTCGATATTCATCCATCCCAGTAGAAGTTCCTTCAAGGTTTTAAAAGAAACAAAAAAATTGAATGAGTTGTGGTAAAAGACGCAGTCGATATCTTGTGACCCTGCTTCTTTCTTGCTTGTCAACAACCTTGAAAATATGGCTGTATTTGTTTCTTAGTGTAAAGAAGAGCTTTCTTTAAGCTCAAGTCTTTTTCTTTCGGAAACTCTTTCTGGGAAAAATATTCAGCGAATGAGATTTTGCTGAACTTTGGATAACCTTTAAGGCAATTTTGTTTTATGGAATATCCGCATAAATATTCATGGTATTCAAATAAAGGTCTCAGGTATTATATTGGGGTGAATTGATTAGATATGCTTCACCTTTAGGCAGCTACGTCGATTTGATGGTTTGTACAGGCGCTCAACACAGCATTAACACAAATACCGTGTATTTTACAAACCAAACAATCTCAATCGATGGTCTTGGAACCTACATTCTTGTTTAAATAGTGAAACTTTCCATATTTCATCAGGTGAAAGAGAGAGAAAAAATCAACCTAAAATTTCACTTTACATTAACCGGATCATCTTAGAAATGACTAGAAGGTGAATGGTTTATATTATCTTGATGGGATTGGAGTGTTTCTGAGCCAAAGCCCTTCCGCCGTCAGAATATTTCAATGATATTTCCTCAATCAATTTTTTTTTTGAGAAAAGATAACAAAACAAGTTCAATAACTAACCCTTTAACAAGTCATTTAATTTGACGTTTTGCGTCAATGCTGAAATTTCATTTCGTCCGATGTAGCTTTATGTCAATGCATCACAAGGACGCCGCTCGCCTGTCCGATGGATCTTCGACTTAAGATCACACTCTGGAAAATGTCAGTTTGTAACAAAATCCGCTTGCCCCCGCGTTGCCTGGTTAAATTAGCCGGTAATGGGAAACAAAATACGGAGCTTTGAAAGTGGACGACCATCCTTTCAGCGATGACCACCTTAATCTATTCAATAATGCAAATGAGGAATGAAATTTAATCAGAACGGATAACTCTTATTTTGTCAATGATTATGTTTCTGACAATTTTGTTGAAATATTGCTCGTAAGAGGGCATTGAGGAGCTAAATTCCTCTTTTCATGGATTGTAGTTTTGAGCAATTTAGAGAAAACAGAAAATCAGTTGCATATTGAATAATGAAATCGTAAATCATAAACTTGTGATGATTAGGTGTCCAAACACGGCCGAGTGGCGAAGTAGAGTTAACGAAATGCACTTAAATTGAAAAAGTGAATTTCAATATATATTTCAGTAAATTCGTTTCGGATTAAATCTATTTACAAAAAGTTCAGTTCTCATTTTTTCAGGTGAGATAAATGTCTAGAATTTTAAATCAGTATATTTAGATAACGCTTTTGAAGGTTTTTTTGTGCAGAAAATTATGGAATACGCTATTTAACGTATTAATGTGGCGTTTGAATTTCGGGTGATGAGTAGCTGAAAGTACTTCTGGTTCAAACTCGATGATAAAAGTTTAGTTGCAATATTCTTTTTTTCATTTTACGTTTTGAATAGTCTCCTTTACAGGTGTCAGGAATTTTCACCCTATATATAAACTCATTACCTGTTTTCCAAAAGCTAAAAAACCAAAGCAAACAGCAACAACTACAAAAAACCGTTCTACCTTTACGTGCGAGATTGCAGGTAAGTTGGAGAGTACCCAGGAAGAAAAGATTTCGAGATTTTATTTGCACCATACTGATCCTTCCTTCAACGTTGTTTCGGAACCATCAATCAAAAATTAAAATTCATATATCATATCTATCTATACATATATATATTAGTCAACTGAAATAACAGTAAGAATAAACGTTTCGCTGATGCGAGGGCAAACGGTTATACTTACCGTTAGTGTCTATAAATCTATTTTCCCTTCCAGTTCGTTGCGATTCAAACGTCTTAACTGTAATTCTCTCGTCTCTGATCAACATTTACAAATTCTTTGGCGTCCCTCTATGTTGCCGTGGTGATCAAATTTCGCGCCTCTCGAAGTCCACGCAAATATTTTGTAATTTTGCTCAACTATGTTAATTACTGAACGTAGTGAATCAAAACAAGACGTGTTGCAAGACCCAGAAATTATTTATCTTAAGTATACATTTTTGAAAGCATTCTACGATACCTGACTAATTATATGTAATCAATCGAATCAATTTCCACGGGATGTTGAAACCAGCACTCAAAAAAACTGTGTTTTCTTTCATGATATGGTTGATGTTTTCTTTGTTTCTCTGATCAATTCAGTATCTGAGCCACAGCGCCCCTCTCTCCCCCCTTACCCAACAACAAGTTTGAAATCTAAGTTTCAGTTCGTTACTTGTTTTAGTTTTATATCAACGTTAAAACTTTACAGCAGTTACTATTCAGCAAAATGAAGATGGCTAGCGGTGGACATTTAGCGAGCCACGAGCGCCGAGGTAAATATCCACCACAAGCCACTGACACAGTGGCTAACAGTTGTTTTAGCATATACTAAAACAGTAAGATAATATGGCTAAAAAAGATGATTGACTCAGTTTTTCCTACAAGGATTGCAATTTTTCCTGGCGCAAATCCCGCATGAGCTGTTTGGGTGATGAATAGTTTGCAATCATTCCACGAGCATAAAAAAAATTTACGAATTAACAATTACTCACCAAAGTGGAGGTGAACCAGCCGATCGGTGCGCGCGAAAAGCACTATACTCTTACGTGTTTAATAATTTACATGGAAAA